CCGCGCGACAGGAACTTTCTCTTCGTGGGAGTCATGACGGCCCAGAAATACCTGCAGACCCGCGCCGTGGCCGTCTACAGGTGAGACCCCCGCCCCCCCCGCGCCCTGCCCCGTGCGCCCTGCGCCCTGCATCCTGGCCGGGCACCGAGGCCCCCCGGTGCCCCTAGGGCGATGCCAGGCGTTGGCAGCAGAGGTCGGGGGCAGGATGTGCGAGCCCAACGCTCAACAGGACCTTGGGGTCAGATGGACCAGGGTGTCCCGTCTGGGTGTGGTCCTCACCCTTGAGGCACCCCAGCTTTCCATGTCCCAACCTTCTTCTTTGTTGAATGGTCCTGACTGGACGTCTCTCCCTCGTGAGAAAGACTCTTCCCTGTGACAGGGGTGGCGATTATTGGATTCTCTGAAACCTGCCCCCTTGGCCGCCCTTGCAGAACTAGAGCCCCTGTAAATGAACCTGGTTAGACCCCTTCCCCAGCTACAGGGAGCTTTCCCCGTTGGCAGCTGTCCTGTGGATGGCAGGGGGGTGCCCGCTGCCCACTGAGCCCACCGCCTGTGCTGACTGCAGAGAGTGGAGAGAGAACCTTTGGGGAAAGCAGTTCCTGGCCCACGGTGGCTTTGCTGTTAACTAGCCCAGTGCAGTGATGTTATCCAGTGCCTGGGCCCCAGTTAGCCAGATGAGTCATAAAAGTGGCTGGAATCCTGCTCAGGATTAGCAAGGGGATTAGCCAAAGTCATCTTCAGAGGGGAGATGATACGGGAATGGCAGATTTGTAGCGGAATGAGTTCGAGGTAGAAGAGGGGCGTAGATTCATAAAGGGATTTGGCGGAAACCTTCCCCGGGTGAGGGACAGAAATGCTGAGGAACCGACCAATTGCTGGGAGGTCCTCTGGGAACCAACTTTCTGAGCGGTGGGTGCTGAGCACGACCAAGCTGGTTGCTTTTGTGGTTTCAGCTTTTAAATCAAGCCCTGGTTATATGGATTCCCCTTTACCCCGAGGGGGGGGGGTGATGAGGGTTGAAAAAGGGGATAAGAGAGCCATAGCGAACGCCTGCCCTTTCAGGGCCTTGATTCCTGTGTGTTTCCATTAGGATCTTGTCTAAATTCAGAGATCAGGTTCCGCCCAGAAGGGTCCTGAGTGACCAAAAAGCTTAGAATTAGCCCATAGTGTCAATTTACACCAGAGTTGAGACTTGGGAACCTGCAGATCAAGGTGTTTTTTCCCCCCACAGATCTGCTGTGAATTACCCAGAATTTTATGCGAATTGTGCTTTTTTACAAGATAAATATCCACTTCAGAAATTGGGGATGAGCTACGTACATTGCTTACAGCATGGTTTTAGAAGTGCCCCCACATGACTGCAAGTTGGTGACAGGTCCAGTGATCACACTGTACAACATTGGGGACAGTTATCAAAGTAGTTTGTTCAAATAGTAGATGGTGTGTTTACCCTCCCACCCCCAAACAAATGCATTTTCATAGATACAGAATTAATACCAGCAGGGATTCTGTTGTGCCAGGAGTACTCAGAAAATGTCATGCAGACGGAACCTGGTGTCTTACACTTGGAGATGATCTTGTCCCAAAGTCTGCGCTTGACCTCTTTTGGTCTCCTTCCAAAAGTCCTGCCTCATCTTTTTTAGCTCTAAGATTTCATCCCATTGTTTTCTTTCAGGGGAAAGTGGAAACACAATTTACCTTCCGCCTCCCCATCCCCTCCTTTGTGACAACTCAGCCCTTTTGATAAAGTAAAAGCCTTAAGGGGAAAACAGTGTATTCTATCCGGTCATTCTGTCTGCTCTTCTACATACCTTTTCTTTTATCTCTCTGATCTTAAGAAGTTGCAGTTACTTGGAGCCTGAGGGTGGACCTGCCCTGCCAGTTAAGGTCCCCTGCTTCTCCACGGGTCAACCCTGTGTTTAGACTGGCTGCAAGAGAGGGCACAAGACACTTTTAGCCTTAAGGAACTTTGGAGGCAGGCCTGAATTGGGATGGAGGTTATAGGGCGTAACTTATGATTATGACTTTGCTGTGCTTTGCAGCCCGGGCCAGAAGTCCATGCTCAGCTCTTAAGTTGGAAAGTTCATGCACAGCTTGGTGTAAAAGTCAGCTTGGATCTTCCAGCACAAGGTTCGACACTGGGCGTGCTCAGTTTACATCTCCCCTAAAAGACAGATTCACTGTTTACCTTAGAAAAGACTCCAATGGTTTTTTTGTTTTTGTTTTTTTAAAAATAAAATTAAAGCTTGGCTTCTGGGTTGAAGGAGATGCTAACGTTTTCAGAAAACTGGCACTATGGTGTACTTTTTAAAATTTATTTTTATTGATTTTTAGAGAGAGAGGAAGGGCGAGGGAGGAGGGAGAGACAGAGAAGGAAACATCAGTGTGAGAGGGAAACATCTATCAGCTGCCTCCTGCACGCCCCCTACTGGGGATCAGACCCACAACCCGGGCATGTGCCCTGACCAGGAATCCAACTGGCAACCTTTCGGTGCCCAGGACAATACCCAGCCAACTGAGCCACACCGGCCAGGGCTATGATGTACTTTTATGGTACAGTATTGAAATGTCAGAATGTAGGCCCAGAAAGGAGCTTTTAAAAAAACAAAACCAAAAAACCCTTTGGAAAATTCAAGGAGATAATGCCTGCCTGCATTGGAAGCTAGCACATTTAATGATGGGCCAGCCCCATCACTACAGACTTTCCAGATCTACCATATGCTTGAAGTAGGGAGAGGGGCCACCAGGAGAAGTTAGCAATCCAGTGACAGCTGATAGCAGGTGAGAAACCGATTTTTACAAACAGGCAAAACCATTCAAAGTGTAGCTGATTGGGGCCTATCCAGGGCTGACTTCTCCCATAGGCCCTGAGCAGATGGATGTTAAAATCTCAGGAGTAACTTATGATTATGACTTTGCTGTGCTTTGCAGCCTGGGCCAGAAGTCCATGCTCAGCTCTTAACATTGGAAAGTTCATGCACAGCTTGGTATAAAAGTCAGCTTGGATCTTCCAATAAAAGTCAGAATCTTCAGATACACACTCTCAGGGTTTGTGCCTTTGCTCAGCAAGGCCGTGCCTGGCCCCTCTGAATCCAGACTCCGAGCGTTGGGGACACACAGTGGCGATGCTGTCAGAGTGGGAGGGACAGACGCTAACCAGAGGGTTCCCGTTAGTTAGTGATGGGCCCTGTGGAGAAAATAGAACAGGGCGGGGTGGGGTCATCTTTTAGGTGGTTGGGGAAGACCTCAGAGAATGTGGCATTTGGGCTGAGATGTGATCATAAAGGAACCCGTTGTGCATATCACCGATGGGCATGCAAGTCAGAGGGGAAAGCTGGTAAATTATAAGGCAGGAACCAGAAGGGGGGATGGAGGCCTGATGCTGTTCAGTCTCCTTAGAAAGCCCTCGGAGGGCTTGGGCAGGAAAGGGGCGATTGCATCATGTTCTGAACAGTTGGTTCTGCCTGGCGAGTGGAGAACGGGCCTCAGAGAAGCGAGGAGGTGTTAGGAGGTGGTCCAGGCGGACCTAAGGGTGGCTGGGGCCGTCGAGGCGGTAGAGGCGATGGAGAGAAGTGGGTGGCTCCTGGAGTTTGCCCGATGGAGCCAGAGTGAAAGATGTGAGAAGTAAGCAAAGAGGCGTTAGCGGTGGCTTCTAGGATTTTGCCTTGAAAGACAGGATGGGCGGTTGTGTCATGTATTGAGACGGAGAAGACTGGAGGGGAGTTGATTTACAGGAAGGAGGTGAGTCAACTGAGAGCTGGTTTGGCACAGGAAGTAGCTTTTTTTTTCTTTTCTAATTGTCACCCAAGGATATTTTCCCCCCCATTGCTTTTCAGAGAGAGTGAAAGGGGTAAAGAGAGAGAGAGAGACACGTCCATTGGCTGCCTCCTGCTTGCGCCCCGACTGGGACCAAGCCTGCAACCGAGGTACATGCCCTTGGGTCGGAATCGAACCCGGAACCCTTCAGTCCTCGGCCGATGCTCTAACCACTGAGCCCAAACAGGCCTGGGCAGGCACAGGAAGTTTTAAAGCTTTTAGATACCCAGGTGGGTGTAGCATTAGCTTCATTAATGTCATGAATTTAAAAAGAAACGGAGAGGAGATTTGCATCCAAAGTGATTAGTGTTGGAGATCTGAAGGGAGCTTAGATGAGATTCCTTGAAAGGTTCCCGGTAGCTGGAGTTCTACAAATAGACAAATAAAACGGTTGTTTCGGCTCATCTGCAAAGTATTTCTCTTCTAGGTAATTTCGCTGTAAAAAGGCCTCATGATTCCTCCACAGGAACATATTACGGTGGTTAGTGAAGGTCAGCAGCACCCCTGGGTTCCTCATGTCTTTTTTCCCAGTTGCAATTCATATTTTTCCCACACTTCTTTCTTCCTTAAAATTATGTTGTTTGGTACAAAGACATTAAGTCTTCATGTAGTTCCGTTTTCTTGTTTGATTTTAGTGACCCCCCCCCCAAGCTCAGAAAGTATTACCCAGGCGAGAGTTTGAAAAATAACTTTTTTTCCCCCTAACTCTAGAAGGGGTAGAAACGTCTCCACCTCCCGTTTGCCCACCTAGTTCATTGTCGCGGCGCCATCTGTTGAATAATCCTTATTTTTTCCTACCAGTCGAAATGCCTCCTTCATCCTGCTCCGGATTCCTGGGTATGTTGCCGGACTTCCCATGTTGTTCCACTGGTCCTTCTGTCCCCGTGCCAGGCCCACCCATGGAAGTGATCGGAGGTTGAGTAATATTCTAATATCCGGTAGACAAGTGCCCCTTTGTTACTGTTGCGGACATTTCTTGGCCACCCTTCACCTGTTCTTGCTGGGAGAGTTTTGATGCTATTTAGAATTTTTTTTTTTTAAAGTAATGGTTTGATAAAAAACATACATACTTGGCTTTTTAATTGAGTTTTTACTACATATATATATATATATATATATATATACACACACACACACACACACATACATATATATACCTTTATTGATTTCAGAGAGGAAGAGAGAGAGAGAGAAACATCAATGAGGAGAGTCATTGATCGGCTGCCTCCTGCTGGCCCCCTGCTGGGGATCAAGGAACCCGCAC